TTTTCAAAAATTTAAAAGTAAAATCGTATGGTCCCTGGGACTTGTCGTTTCCACAACTCCACACTGTCGTCTTTATCTCCAAATCAGAAAATGAACCCGTAAGAAACTTATAATTATCAGCTGAGAGCCTTTTAAACTGATTGCTGATGAGCTTGGGTCTATTATATATGGGTTCATTGAACTTATTAGAAAAGAACTCCAAAACTTCTTTCAATATCCTAGATGGATCAACAACCCATTCCCAATCAACTGTAAGACCATTTATATAATTTCTTCTTCTACTTTTTGTTAGTAACACCATGACAAAACTTTGAGTTCTCGTCACCTTCAACATTTCATCTACCTCTTGACTTTTGCTTTAGATCAGAACGATGAATCGAATTAATTTCCATTACATGTTTTCCACGCCTGCCTATTATTTCTTTCTAGAAAATATAACGAACACTTTTCATCTATTAGTTCAATTTCATCAATTTGAATTCAAAAATTATTCATCACCTTAAACTCTTTCCTTTTTAAATCCGCTCTCCATTTTTTATTTCATTTTTACATGAATTAATTTTCGGACAGAATACGAACCTTCTTGAATCGATAACTTCCATGCATTCATTACCACATCATCTAGTCCCTCAAGCATGCACCAGGAATTAAAATTTTTAAATGGGATAGGACCAAAATCAAGATAATTGTTAACCAATATAATGGGGATGTGATCATAAAATTCCTCGGTAAAATAGTGGAAACCGCTAATTCCCACGTGTTCATAAACTCCTGGCATGCTAGAAATGGATCAATTTTACTCAAGCAATTTCCATCTTCACTCATCTACGTATATATTCGACCTCCAAGACTAAAATCGAATTGATTTTCATCCATGATAAACGAGTTAAACTCCTTAATACTTTTATCACACCCACTTTTCGAGTTTCTTTCACTCTTGAAACAAACCTCATTGAAATCCCCTATTAATAACCAACACCCATTTCATCGAGTTAATTAACAACTTAAGTTTATCCCCTAAAAGTGGATGCTCAATGGCATTAACAGGAGCATAAACATTCATAATATTGGTGATACTAGTCATACCATACTAAACTCCAAAAATTACAATAAAGTGATGATTCTTTTTAACATTTACCTTCTTGAAAATTCTTGGGTTCCACACACAGAAAAGGCCTCCTAATCTCCCATTAGACTCCATCAAAATCTAATCAAAATCTAATAAATCCCGATACAACTCAAATGGAATGTTACCGATATCAACCAACTGAGTCTCTTGAACACTAAGGTTTCGTTTGATAGTTGTTGACTGAGAAAGTACTCACTTTGAGAGGTCTGAGTAATAATTTCTGACTGAGTACGAAACCATGTTGTTTAATTGTACATCTAATTGAATGGACTGACTAGTGAAAAATGACCATTTTACCTTGATGCTCTATATAGTGATGGATTAAGTTGTTGAATAATTATAAAAAACATATAGATTGTCATACAAAATGTAAATTACACACAAATCATTTAAAATCCAAATAAAAACTGCCACACAAAATGTAAATTAAACATAAATCATTTAATATCCAAATAAAAACATACTAAAATTCATAATAACATAATAATTTAATGTAAAGTAGGTGCAAATAGTTGATTTACAATCTGATCATGTAAAGCACACATATATTGAGCGACTTCTGGACCTCATTTTATGCCTTGTATGTTTTCCCTATCAATTCCTCCACCTTGTGCGTCAGGATTAACCATAGTGTTCTCCTAAAAATTTGTAAACAAGTCATCTTGTATATCGTATTTCCTCAAAAAAATTATGGACCGCAACACAAGAAATGACTATGTCTCTTTGCACTGTAAACGGATAAGGAGCCATTTATATTAAGATTGGGAATCTCGCCTTCAATACACCAGAAGCACACTCAATAACATTTCTAAGTTGTGCATGACTATGATTGATCATTTCTTCTCTAGTTAAAGGTCTGCTTCTTCGAAAGTCGGCAAACCAATACCTAGTATATCAGTACGGAGCCATAAACCCGTGAGTGTTTGTATATGCGGCGTCCGCATCACAAATGTAATATTTATCTGCAAATGAGTATGACATGTATTATATAAAGAAGATAGATAATAAACGTTATATAAAAATTACAAACTTGGTGGAGGAAATAAAAATCTAGAAGTTAGATTGAATGCAACTTCTTTTAAAACTCTTAAACCATGTACTACGCCCTACCATCTAGCCCAAACAAAGGTGAATATCATATCAAAATCTCAAGTTCTTTATACATTTTGAAAATATTCACCTTTTCATCTTCCTTTATAATGAGTTTGTTGACCAACAGGCACAACCACATATACAATACTTCCATCTAATGCACCTATTTATCCGGAAAAAAAATCTCTTTTAACCATATATGTCCTTCCAAGTTATGTCTTGTTGGGTTAGGAGTTGTTGGTACTATAATTTCTCTTGGAAAACACATCATTATAGTAAGGCCCTCTTGTTGATGAATCGTTTGTATGGAGTGTTGAAATCTTCCTTTAACCATACGAAAATGTTCATTATGTCCGATAACATATAAGAACATAGTCATCTTCTTTTAAATGCTTATTGTCCTACTAGATTGCAACCAAATTTTTTTGCTAAAATGGTTGCATAATAATATGAATGCCTCTTGTGTAAGATTCATCATATCGTAACACTGTGTTAGCTCTCCATGTATCAAATCTTGCATATATGCATACCCGCTTGATACCAAATCATTATCTCTTATTCCATGAATTTTGTTTAGCCTTCACCGATTTGACCTCAACCAATAAAACACAAGTAAAAGAAATGCTACAACTTCACCATCAAAGACCATACTTGACCTGTTACAAACAACTATAAATAACATGTTACAGTAAAAAAATCATGCAACAAAAAACTAGTAAATAACAAATGTCATCTTGAATATAAAATAACATAGCATCCAAAGTAACAAAAGTCATGCAACAAAAAACTAGTAAAAATCATCTAAAGTAACATCCAAAAAGTAATCAAACATAGCATCCAAAAGTCATGCAACTAACAAAATCCATGCTACAAAGAACTAGTAAAAATCATCAAAGTTAATCAAACTTCCTATCCGCACCCATCACCCACGACTTAAAACTAGTAGGCGAAAGTCGTAACCAAACCTTCTGAATATCAACACTGTCACCAAATAGCAAAAGAGTGGTCTTGTGACTTTCATCTTCTTCTCCTCATTCCATTTTTTTAATTTATCGATACATGCATCAACATCCTCATCCATTTCACCTTTTTCAATTATTTCATTTTTTCACCAACGACCTCGCAAGGTTAACAATCTCCTCCTCAACTTTTAATGCATTTGCTTCTCTTTTTTACACCAACTCTTTTGTTTCCACTAGCTTCCTTATTTTTTGAATGCCTTGAAGACTCTTCACTTGCACCTACGTATTTTGTTGAGGTTTCCATTGGAATATCATCATTAAAATCATGGGCACTAAAATCTTCTACATGACAAGGGAGTGTAGAAGATAGCCCCCAATTTTAAGTCGGTCAAGGTTGACCCTTCAAATAGTTGGGTGTAAAGATCAGGGAACAACAGGGGCTTAGTTTTCAATAACAACATGAACTTGTTCAACTGTTTATAATTTTTATAAATACTATTATTTGTTATAAGAATAATCATACTAGTATTTGTTACAAAAATATTACATTTCCATCTTCCTTCCATTGCTCATTGGTCATATTAAATTTGTTTTTACAGGATCATATATATTGCTGGTTTTGTTTTTCAGTTTCACCCAACCAACATACTTTGATTTGTAGTAGTTAAAGTGGTTTTTCATTTGCTTCTGGTGAACCTCTTTACCGTGTTTGTTTATCAATTTGTCACGTATTGTCTTCCATGCACTTGCTTTAAGCCCAGAACCCTCACGACCGTTAGTGGTTAGTTCGTGGATACATACATCAAGAAAGGTTTTTTCCTCACACTCATTCCAAACCAACATCCTAAAACATAAATATTCAACTAATTTAAATCATCACAAAGATATAGTAATTAATTTGTAAATTTATCAAAGGCTCATTTGATTCAAGAAAAAAAAATCAACAAAGGTATGAATTCATCAAGAACAAAATCAGCAAAGGTAAAAATTTTTCAGCAAAATCAGCAAATCCATCTTTGTTAATGACTTAAACATATATGTATGGATGTCTTCAGGTATGAAGAAATTCAACAACAAAATCAACAAAGGAACATTCAAAAACAAACATGAAGTGAACAACAACAAATCATTTGAAGATTCAGAACATTTATCCATCTCAACAGCAAAAGAACTTTCAAAAGCAAAAGAACTCTCAACAACAAAAGCACATTCAACAAAAATCGTAACAACAACAATCGAAACAGCTAAAATCAAGACAGTAAAAATCAAAACTTTCAGAGAAATAATTGCAGGAATCGAAACTATAACAAATGTAAAAATGGATGCTTGTTGGTCGACGATATGAGGAGGGAGAAATCGATGCTTACCTAATGAGATGAGGAAGGAACTTTGATTGGTGCTTGCTGGTTGCGAGAGAAGAAAGGATTTGTTGAAAGGGAGGCATCGTGTTAGGGCAAGGGTACCGATGGACGCTTTCTCCCTTTCCTCAGTCAGCCGATTTTCTATTCCTTTCTCAGTCAGATGCGTCTTTCCATGTGAGATGGATAAAAATTGTTTATCAAACATGTTTAGCTGATCGAGTCGATCAACTAAAAAGGTCTGAACCAACTCGGTCAGATGAATATCAAGCGTGCCCTAATAAAGTTTATTTGATGCATCACCTTCAAATCCCTAATCCACTTAGCCTCCCCCCCCCCCCCCCCCCCCCACGCGCGCGCGCGAGAGAGAGAGAGATTCACGGAAAGACAATTCATTTTAAAACAATAGTCACACCTTCTCCTTTTATGACAATTGTGAAAGCATTAACTGTCCCATCCATGGTAAAACCAACATCTCTGCCCATCTCCATCGTTGTTTCAATTTCTCTAGAGGTGGAGTTTAATGAAGTTGTCGGATTTGACCTTGATTTCGATTTTTATCTCCAGGAGATCAAAACCGAAAAGCTAATCGTTAAAAAAAGCATGTATGAACATATATATGAATGTAAATGAATCATAAACAAATACAAATTAAACATCTTATTAATGTATGATCGTTTACATATACATGTATATATGTTTTCTATGTTGGTACATGTATGACCGTTTATATTCAATGTATGTTTACTTAACATTTTTACAAACATAAATGAATAAATAAGAACAATGTAATATGTTAAACCAATGGACATAAACAAAAAAAATCATTTGTTTATCTGTCAATGTTTTTTTTCTAGTAAATTCAAATGAACGTCCATAAACAATATCTTGTTTATGCTCATTCGTTTGTTTAATTAATTTAATAGTCATGAATAAAACATTATTTGTGTTTGGTTGGTTCATCTAGAGGCATAGTTGTATTCCCTAAGTTTATGAAAATAGATTTAATTTTACAAATATTACTATATTTTATTCTTTTTCAAGTTGTTATTATAGATTATTTAACATCTTATGGTATGGTAGTATATTAACATGTTTTTTGATAAGTTCATGAAAATGGATTTAGTTTTACAGATATTATATTTTATGTTTTTTCAAATTATTATGGATTATTTACATCTTGTGGTATGGTAGTATATTAACATGTTTTTGGTAGTTTAGACTACGATCAATCAGTTTTATCTAAACCAATAATATCTTTGGCTGTTTTCTCTATGTTGAAACATGTATATACTTTATGTCAAAAGAAAAGTACTGTTTTTGCTTTTGATTGAAAGGATTGCCTAACTTCACCATTTTAGTGATGATATTAATCATCTAATTCTAAAAAGTCGTAATTCATTATTTGTCACTATTTGAGGACATTATTCATAATCCTTCTAATCAACATATGATTCATTTCTTTCTTCTCTTTACTACAAAATACAAGTTAACATTAAATTACAAAAGATTTTCTGACTTGGAATGCAATAGGTTTGTAGTGAATTAAAGATGATTTTTTTTTCTTTTTGTAAAAAAGATAAAGAAAAAGGTGATAAAAAGGAGCTCAAAGTTGGATGCATGTTTTCAACAAAAGGCTTGAAGATATGAAATCACCATTGTTGCTCCACTTTAAGAAGCAATAGCAGGTAATCATCACTCCATTTTTTTTATTTCTTTAATAACGTATTTATCCGAATCATAGATTTCGTAATTTAAATAAAATTAAATAATAATAGTGATTTCTATATGATTACAAAAGTGTAATTAGTATATGATTAAAACTGTTTGATATTGAAATATACTCCAAAATATATAAAACACGATGACTATTTTATCTATGTATCTTTTCATAACATGAAAATATGAAGTAGTTACCACTTACGAAGAGTATCACAAGAGATGATGAATATTCTGATGAAGTAACAAAAATAATAGTATTTTTCAGAAAAAACATAAATCATGATACTATCAACAATCTTTTCTATAAAGAAATCGATCATACTTTAAAAAAAAAAAAAAAAAAAATACAATTATAAAGGCTCCATTTACTAACAGAAAACTATTTTTCGTTTCCAGTTTTCAGCTAATATAAAATCATTCTGTCCTGAAATCAATAAATATGTTGAAAATAATCAAAAAATAAATTAAATAAATATATAAATAAATAAAACAATCAAAACAAACATGTTAAATGTGGATTACTTTTGATTGAGTGATTAGGAAAAAAGCCTCGGCCCACTTTCAATCTCTTTAAATTAAAATCAGAGAAAACGAAACTGGACACCTTTTTATCGTTTCTTTTGCGTGTTGGGTTTCAGCCCACCATGAAGCAACAACCATACATAAACTGTAATACCGACAATGATATATTCATATTAGTCAAATTTAAAATTACTATTGTATGAAATTAAAACTATACTGTTAAAAATATAAATATATGATGTTAAAAATACTTAATTTAGTTTATATTATATGATAAAAAAAAAATACGTGTTAATAACGTTGGTAATCGAAAACTTATAGTTTATGTTTATATTGAATCATGAATTTTGATTGCATTATCCGCAAATAAAAATTATGTACAAGTTTTGATTTAATATTATTTTTGAGTATTGTTAAATATATTTGATTTTAAAAAATCCATTTGTTTTGTTTTTTCAAATTTTCAATTATATTTTTATTTTCAAATACTCACTATGTTTTCAAGTTAACATAACTTTTAGTTTATTTTTATGTATTTATAGTTTAGTATAACTTATAATTTATATAATTTATTGTTATTCTTAATTAATTAAAAATCCAAGTCTTTGAATTTTTTCAATTATATAAAAATTAAACTTCAAAATTTTAATAAGAAATTAACTTTTTAATAATATATATTGATAATCTTTTAAATAACAAATAATGAGGATTAAAAATATATGTATGCATTTTTTTCTTGTTTTTTAACGATTTATAATATATTATGACTTTGTTAATAAAAATAAATAATTAAAATTTAACACATAACTAAAAAAGTATTTATTTTATTTTGCGGTGGTCCCAGACCAACGACTTTGGATTCGACTGTTATCAATTATTTGAGCTGGTTTTTGGGTGAGAATAATGAATACGTTCGGACCTTCAAGACTGCAAAGCAGATAGCTGAAGGAATGGATTTGGAATCGTATGGTGTCCGACTATTCAATGACATTCAGGACCGTAGATATGACTTACCTTTACCTGGGTCGTTAGTGGGCCGTACGACTATTCAATGACATCAATCAAATCTTCGTTCGGATTATGTTAGTGGGCTGTACGATGCGCTTTCTAAGGGTGATAGAGATGCAGGGTCCGTTGGAAAACGGATTTTTTTGCCAGCATCATTCACTGGAGGTCCCTGTTTCATGTACAATCATTATCTAGATGCTTTATCCATATGTAGGGTGTATGGTAATCCACAGCACTTTATCACCTTTACATGCAACGTTAAATGGCCAGAGATCACCCAGTATATGGATACACATCACCAAACCGATATGCATAGTAGAGCAGACATAATTGGTCGAGTGTTCAATATAAAAGTTCGTGAGTTCATCCGGTTTCTTAAAGAGGATAAAACCTTTGGCGATGTTGAAGCATGTATGTTCCCTACTTGGCTACTCTTTTTCATTTCATCTGATGTTATCTGTATTTTATCAGTTTTTTTATATGTATGTGATGTATCCATCTGGTTTTTGTATGCTGATTCTGTATGTATTGCTATCTTCTATATAAAATTCATTTTCTTATACTCAACATTTCGCACCGTATGCATTCTGTTTACCTTATTTTCAGTTCGTCTAGATTATATATGTTTACATATCCTTATATCCGTGGCTTCTTTATGAAATTTTTTATCTGATTAAGAGGTTCATCCGCTTGCAGGATCATTATTATGACTTATGTACTTAAATTATATCTCAAAAAAATATATAATTGAAATCTGTTTTTTTAGTTACCAAATGTATTATTATTTTCTTTTATAAAAAAAAACATTCTCAATGCCCCTGTGCCGTTGTATGATTTTTAATTAAATAAATTTTTATCGAATTGTGGAATTTTTTTACATGCTATACACCTTCTTATAGGGTAGATTGACTGCCCCTGTCCCCATTGTCCTATTCTGTTATAACCTCACATTTTTGATCTCATGCTATTCTTATTTATTTACAACCTCAAGCATACAAACACATATATACAATGCAAGGATTATTTTCTAAGAATATTGTTATATGAAAAATATATATATATATATATATATATATATACATATATATATAATTGATTTCTTCTATACTGTACATTTTTTTAGTTGCTTCAATTGTTATTATTTCGCTGCTAGTGTTGTATGTTTCCTTAGGCAGAGAAACTGTATTTCACGTATTGTTCCTTTCATTTCCAGTGGTCGTATCACATGTCCCTTTTCTGTGTTATGAATTTTTAATTAAATAATTTTTTATGGAATCATGAATTTTTTTTACATGAAGCATACAAAACCACATACACACTACAAGCGTTATTTTCTACCAACACTGCTATATGAAAAACAATATAATTGATTTTTTCCATATTGCAGGTGTGATATTGGAATGATACTATTATATGATGTAATAATATTATTTTCCATAGAAGAAACCACATTTTGATTTTGTTTTTTTATGTGTACAAATGTTACCTTTTTTTGTCACTGTATGTATTTTCTTTACATTGAGATTCCTTAGTTCCAAGTTTAATTATTGTAAGCATAATTTTTTTTTCCCTTTTTTAATTTTAACTGTATCTACACAGATCACATGCACTTTTATTCTGTATATGTTGTTCTCAAATTACCCATTGGTTAAAAAAAATTAATTTTGTTGCCATTACCCATTGGTTAAAAAAATTAATTTTGTTGCCATTACATGTTGGCTTCTATTATACAACCCATTATACTCTTTTTTACCTACAAAGTAAAACGCACAAACACACATACATACCGCTTTGTTTTTGGCATTAAATTCAGATTCTTTTCTTTCCAAGCTTCATTCATGTAATTATCGTTTTTTTTCGCTTTTGATTCCTATGATTGCAACAAACAAACACACACACACACACACACACATATATATATATATATAATTTATTTTTTTACCTGTAGTTGTAATTGTGACGACCACTTTTACTTTTTGTATGTTGTTCCCAAACTACCCTTGTGTAAAAAAAAAGGTTACTGTTGTTGGGCTTGTATGCCGACTTTTCTTATGCTACGGCCATGTGTTTCTGATGCTTCCGGTTTGCTGCAATCTCATGTATCATAATTTTTTGTTAAAATGAAATGTTTTTTTTTACCCTACACCCATTATACATTTCTGTTATCACCTCACGTATTTCATCACATAACCTTCTTCTTTATGTACAGACTAAAACACACAAACACACATACATACTGCAGGGGTAGTTTTGGAATATGACTGTTTTATGCCTTTTAACTGAAATAAACTTTATTTAGCTTTCAATATTTTTTTTTGTAAAATATATCTTCTTATTGAGCAGTTTCTGCTTTCTTCATCATTTTCATTTTGTTAGCTAAACAAAATTTAATTTGATTTTCAATATTTTTTGTATGATATATACCTCCTTATTGAGCTGATTCCGTTGACTTCAGCATTTTAAATTTGTTGTATGTTGTTGCAAAATTATCCCTATTATCATTTATTTATAAAAATATAACAGGTAGTTTTTTACTCAAAATTTCATACGTAAACCCGTATTTATCTGCTGGCCAGTTTTCTAACTACTTTCAAACGTACATGTGTATATATATATCTTACCCTTTTATCTGCTGTTTGTTTATTCCTTAAAATTCAGTTATACTTTTTGATTATTGACTGCTCTGCTCCCAATGAATCAAAACAGATATATATTATTTGTTTTTTACCTTTGTGTATACATATAACCTCCACTCTTCCTATGTATAACAATGTTGTCTCTTCCATTGACAACAACAAACAGGTACTAATATTTGTTTATGGGCACGGTGGCACTGGTAAAACATTCCTGGACGACCATTCTTTCCCATTTGAGATCTATGGGCAAAATCGCTTTGGCTGTTGCTGTGTCCGGAATAGCAGCGCTTCTGTTACCGTCCGGTACAACTGCACACTCAAGGTTCAAAATACCTATTGATTTAAACAACAAAAAATCATGTGATATCAAAAAGCGTACCTTCCTTGGCGATATTTTACAACGAACAACGCTCATACTATGGGATGAAGCACCAATGAGTGAAAGAAGATGATTTGAATATTTGGACCGCTCACTTAGAGATGTGTTAGACTGTGTCGAAAAACCATTTGGATGAATATCGGTCCTTCTTGGTGGTTGATTTTCGTCAGACTCTACCCATTGTACCAAGAAGCACACGTTCAGAAATTATAGGTCTAAGTCTACCGAGTTCGTATTTATGGCCATATTTTAAAATTCAGTTTCTACATACGAACATGAAACTTGAACCCTCTAATACAATACCCCACTCCTCAATGAATTTATCTGACTTTGCCACATGGCTCTTAGCTATTGGTGATGGCCATATAGGTGTGCCTGACAAGGATGGCCCACGAGACTCAAGCTGGATAGAGATCCCATCTTCACTCCTAATATCACCTTCCCCTAATTCATTACATACCTTAATAGATTTTGTGTATGGGGACGATACACTTAATCAGCCGACTGCGTCACAACTTTTAGCAAGAGCAATAGTTTGTCCCACAAACGACTCAACGGACGAGATAAACTGTCAAGTTCTCAAAATGGTCGCCACACCTGCCAGGGTATACCACCCCTATGAGCTTCTACTTAAGGTCGACTGCCCAATAATGCTTTTAAGAAACATAAATCAGAAGGAAGGTTTATGCAACGGTACCAGGTTGATTGTTTCACAATTGTTACCAACCGTTATTGAAGCAACGATCATAACGGGCACCTCGATCGGAAAATGTGTGTATATACCACGCATAAAGTTCATACACAAGTCATCAAATTTACCGTTCGTATTCTCAGGCAAACAGTTTCCAGTCAAAGTTTGTTACGCAATGACTATCAATAAGAGTCAGGGTCAATCACTACGTAAGATTGGAATCTATTTATCACAGCCCATTTTTGCGCATCGACAACTTTATGTTGCCCTCTCCCGAGCAACATCACCGGATTCGATAAGAATATTACTAAACAACACTAAGGTGCTCTTTGTTTTTTCTGAGGCAAAATGTCTGCAGTCTGCGGACCACATCTGTAGACCTCTGCAGTAGAAGAGGTGGACCAAACGTCTGCAGTCTGAAAAAAGAAGACTGTTTGTTTTTTTAACATCTGTGGGCTATTAAAATAAACTAAAATCTAAATAAACTGATTTTTTAAAACTTCAAAGCGAATTTTTTATATATTTTTACGACTTTATTATAAATATATAACGAATCTAGATCAACTTTTATGTATTATTATATAAAAAATAAAAATAAAAATGGTATTAATTCATATACATATTTGATAAAAACCAACAACTTTGATTGTAAAGTTATAACTAAACATTATAATTAGTGATCAAAGAATTTGATACATAAATAGATGGAAATAAACTTCGATTTTTTCAAATAAATCTATTAAAAACGTACGATAAATATTTTCTCGAGAAATTGATGATACTCTATTAAATAAAGTTTTACAAAATTTTGGCAAAAAAATATAAGAATATATTATGATTTTTTTTTTTCATATTTATATAAACAACTTCAACGACTATTATTATAATAAATTTTTATTTATAAATTTGTTAAAAATATCATGTTTGTATCGTCAAATGTTTTTTTTTTAAGTTTTGTAATTTTTTTTTCATATTGTTTATCATTAATAAAGTTGGAAAAAATATAAATTAAAAAAAAAAAAACTTAAAAAAATAAAGATATATATGTTTTTTTAAGCTAGAAGATGTCTGAAGATGTTAGAAGACTCTGGTCCACATCTGCGCCAAGAAGACGGCGCGCAGACATTTTTAGGTCTGCAGTCTTCAAAAAAACAAACAGTCTGCGAAGACTAATGTCTGCGCGTGGTCTGCGCGGCGCAGACAGAAGACATCTCGCAGATCTGCAGACAAAAAACAAACACTACCTAAGACATGTAAAACCAACGAAACAAAAAATGTCGTTTACAGAGATTTACTACATAAAGTTACTTCAACAGAGGTCTACAGTATCACTCCCTGTCTAGCTTTTTAACATCATTACTACTTTTCATTTTATTCATATACAATTTTTTATTTACAGAATTCCTACTTATTTTTTTAATTCTATATTCACACTCAAATATAGAGCTTACCTGTATACATTTTTTTATATTAGGGAACACAAACAGCAAATGACAACAATTTCTAAGCTCAAAGCTGAGGGTATTGGAGGCCCCTTACAGTTAGAATACTACGCAAATGGAAACACGATATCCGACAATATGAAACCTGGTACCTGGCTGTCGATAAATACGTAAGTTCACACGAGAATACATCATCACAAAAACAGGTTAAAAAATTTAATTATTAATCGGATGAAACATATACCAACTAGAAATTTAAATTTGTAGAAAGCAAACCCTTAATAATCACTTATCAGTATTTACACAAAGCAATTGGTTTCTTTCCCAAATAAACACGTGTTCTCAACGGATGATGCAATTATACAAAAACAAAAACACAAGTAATACCATTGAATCTAATGTAAAGATAATATCTTTCTACAGGCAGATGCAATCCAAATTCTTGGACAATGAACAAACCAGAGCTACATTGAATCTGTTTTCAATGTTTCAGAATGTTACGTTATATTGGATTATAGCTGTCCTGAATTAGACAAGTATCAAAAGGTTCTAGAAAACGATATCTATATTGATGTTTGTCTGAAGTCCAACATACAACGAAATCCAGACACAATCACAATTCCAAAAACCTGGTTTCGATTCGTATCAAACTCACAGCTGATTGAACTCGGAGAAGCACCACCATACTATCCAGGTTTTCACTGTGCTATACATATAACCAAAAATAGAAATATGTACTACACATTACGTGTATAGAATATTGAACTTCTTTTTATTACTAAATTACCAACTTCTGTCATTTTTTCTTATTTAGCTGAATATATTGGCTTGATATGAAAAAATGACAGAAGTTGGTAATTTACCAACTAATACAAGGGTACATTTGTCACATTTTTAAATAAAAAAGCCAAATGAAAAACTGAAAAAAAAATTACTCCATAAATAACCACTTCCATCTTTAAAAAAATTACTTACTAGGCTTTCTTCCTTTGATTTCTTAGACTCTCATAGTTGTTAACCCTGGCAACAGCTTATGCACTTACTTACAAACAGACCTCATTGGCGTTCTTTCAAAGATAAGGGATTGCACAAAAGCAAATGGAGAACCATTTGTGTTGCTTATACTAAGCGACGAAAGGTATATATAGTAACCACCAAAAGACACACATAAATCTCATCATCCCTAACTAACCACATACAAAATCATATTCCATTAGTGGCAGTGAAGTTGCAATAAATCTATGGAAGGAATGTATAACAAATACGCAGAAATTCAACCGTGCCTCCCTAAATCACCCATCTGCAACAACTGTTGTTGCAGTAACGAACCTAAAACCATCAAAATCCTATGGTACCATCTTCTGCAAACATATATATATATATATATATATATATTATATATATATATATATATATATATATGTGTGTGTGTGTGTGTGTGTGTATCACCACTATCACATCACATCTCCTAATACCCTTAACCACAAAATATCATCGATGTAGGAGTATTACAACACGGTTACTTTTTATTTATAGGATAAAACTTTACTAATACAGTCCTACTGGTAAGACGATAACAATGCTATTAGTATTTACTAATACAGTCCGTTTAACATTGTCACATTCGGTTACTTTTTATTTATAGGACAAAACTTTCATAGTAGAGGCCTCAATCAAGGAATTTCACTTCCAAAACACTCGGTACCAAACAATATGTCCAATCTGCAAAGATCCTATTTTTAGAAGAGGCCCCCAGTGGTATTGCAATGCACATGGACTAATTGAAAAGCAAGGCTACATGTAAGCATTTTCCAAAGCACACAAATAAACCACTATTCGCTCATCATACTATTTACAGATTCTTCATATGTATAGATACAAACTTATTGTTACCATTGCCGACACAACGGATACCATACCCGCAATAGTGTTTGAAACATCATGTCGTAAGCTATTAAATCATCACTCGAAAAATTCATATCCGACAACCCGCTGACTAACATGAACACCTTGCCTTCAATCATGACCGGTCAAAAAGAACACACCAAGACCATGTGTATCCAAATGCTAAGGGCATCAACTCCTGACAATATCCATTTCATAATAATCAACATCCAACAATCAACTACACCACCAGAGACACCCATCCCAACAACACCCGGATAAACATTGACGAAAAGAATCTGATCGGATAACGAAACACCTGAGGCAAGTGAATCTGCACCCCTTATCGTACGCACCCTGACCTTTACTCCACCAGGTAAAAGAAAATGTAATAATGTCAAAAGTAAAAAACCAAATTACGAAAACCATTACTAATACTTTCTAAATTCTTCTATCACAAGCCCACCAACAACAACAATTCTGAAACGAACCACAAAGTAACGAGTAACAGCAAGCATGACCGTGAAGTCCAACTTTTCATTCGGATACTAATTTTTCCTTTGTAGTAAACAACACTAACAACTATCCTATGTAATATAAACAATAATAAACAAACACTGTTTGCATGCTTGCACTCAACCAGAATTTCACAAAACAACTAACCATATGTACTTATTTAATATATAATAGGCTTCCAAACATGCACCCGACAATATCTAATACTATGGATACAATGACATATACATATTTAATATCATACCAAAATAGATAAAATTTCCATAAATCTATACACTTGAATAACTTACCCAGAATGATTCCATATTGAAAAACATAAACATAATAAAAAAACTTCTTGAATAAAGCACATATAGCAATTCCGAATACCATATTTTCCTATTTTTCAAAACAAGGATATCCTGTGCGGTCAAAGATCTCCCCAGATATCACCAATTTAATACCACACCTGTGCCAAACGATCACATCCATCTAATAAAGGAAAACAACGGCAACCGTCACCCTACATCTATAACAAATCATAACACTTTTTTAATTAGTTCCAATAAATGCAGTCCAACAACCATAATCCTCCCCTATAAAATACCACCCCAGATAGATCATCCTTCCACCAAACACAAAACATAGAAGATGGAGACCATCATGGAGAAACTGCAAAACCAACTCGACACAATGCAGGAAGCACTTGCCATGGTCCAAAACACATTCACCTGCATCAACCAAACAAGGCAAAACATGATAAACGAAACTCCAGTGGAAATGCCATACAAGCATGTCGTCGTCACCAAAACCTTCATCAACGACCTCGATCAAGACACAATGTTCATGCTGGACATCTTCCAGGCAATGCAGGAGAACATGGCTTCAGCAATCGAGATCTGCAAGAAAATCATCAACAACCACCAAGTCCCATGAAGAAGCAAACCCAACTCTTTGTAATCAAATGTCCAGTAGCTACCTCTTAATGAATGGACACTTTTGTAATGAAAACACTAAGCAATGAATGATATCTTTTGATGCTTATCACGTAATCTTTTTATCTTTTAGCACTGTTTCTAATGAATAACATCTTTTAAACCAGATCCATTATATAATCATCCGCTCCATTAAGAGAGTACGAAATACATTACAGAAAAACTACAACTGATCCCTCTGCCCCCCGCGAAGTGGGGGTAACGAATTTAGTTTAAATGCATCCCATGAATAATAAATAATATAGAAAACATATTTGTCGAATGCAACCATACACTCTTCGTCATGATTTGTATCCAAAGATGGTTGTATTTTCATCTTTTGTTTTGCACGATTCTTCATAAATTAATTTTAGATAACCAATTATTAAACAAAACAATGGTTAAATAAATGGTAAATAATTTTGTAACATCCCTTTGACAAACAAAAATTTTATTTTTTAATTAAGGTAAAACATCATTTTCATAAAAATCCAAGTTAAAAATATTCATTTGTTGAAACATAATTATTTGGAAATCAAAAAAATATAAATAATGCCGAACTCCAATGTTGATTATGAGTATGTACAGTTACACATTCGTCTCCACAAGATCACTAATGGTGCTTAAAAAATATTTAATCCACAACTGTAAGCCTAAGCTTATTAAGTTCACCCAAATTACCACACACCGCAACATACATACAATGCATGCACACATGAGCATTCAGTCTGACTGCACCGCATCGCAAGGCATACACTACATCTGGACCGCTCTCCAGTACTATCCTTCAATCCATGACTGACACGTCTCCCATGCCTACAACATACAGGTGGTCAGCACCTAACCTACAACATATTGTTGGCCCGCCCGAGTATTTTGGCCTACAGCATACAACATAACCAACTCAGCTCACCACCAGATATGTCGATATATACACACACACACCAAGCAAACAATCAAACAAGAACATCAACAGATGTAACTGTCTACAGTAGTCTACCTGTTTAATAACCCATTATCGCATACATGGTCTCATACTATACACTAAGCTACAACTGGAAGATCACCAATGAATGCATAGCTATATGTAATCAGATGTCATGTGAGATAGACAGTCGAATAGGTAACTCTATAGCCACAACCAAATAAGGAACATACAAGAAAGTCTAGATCAAGAGTTCTCAAGCTATCCTACATGACTACATACAACCCCTAGGGCGCTCATCTAGATGTTCATCGGCCTTTTGGTACTCAAAGCAACTACCATTATATCCTATCATAAAAGGATATATACTGTAACACATAGTATAGTGAGGAAGCTCACCTGAAATGCAGAACCGAAGAGTACTGAAACACTCTCAATACCTCGAATTGGATAGATCCATGAACAGACTATCACCCAACAAAGGTCACACCTTGATCAGCAACTGCAAACCTATAAGTTATTCCCAAGGTTAAACTGGTCAAAAAAAGTCAATGGTCAACGTCCACCATTTTGTGGCCAAGTAAGACGTTAAGCACCACCATGTCGTGAAAGCGCTTGTCTACGTCGTGGTTTCTGGCAGAATGCCTAAATCTTCATTAAGTTCTTAATCGTTACAAATCTAAATCTGTGACTTTAGATCTGGTCCTTTTCAATGAATTAATGGATAAGGTTTCCAACTTTATCCATTAGGGCTTCACCACAAGGCAAGATCTACAACCCTAAGTCCATTAAGTCATTAATGATATCAAAAAATGCGCATAGACACAAGGCAACTCCAAACAT